TGGCGTTGTATGCGGATGGACAATCTGCCACGTGGAACTCTACGGGACGCATCTTTGCGACTCCCGTTTCACCTATGGTTACCTTGAGGGTGATTGACCCGAGAACAAGCACATTCGTTCTGGAGAAGCCTACCAGACTGGTGTTGGAGGGATGGAGGTCTTGGACACTCTTTTTCATGCTCTTGAGCGTTGAGTACAAGAGAATTTCTGCAAAGCTTCCATTGTTTACCAGAGTGCGGGTGACTATGAACTTCGCGGTTCGAAAGGTGATGACCAGTGGGTCTTCCGCATTTTCCTCTTTGAACAGCTCGGGTGAAATAAGGCACCGTTAGCTGGCGCCTTTCGTTGGACATTCAAGCAGTGTGCAATGCAGTCTCCTTCCGACCTCACGCGCTTTCTGCTCCCAGCTATTGTTATGATTTCCATTCAATCTTCGACGTCGCGTGATCCAATAGGCGGTAAGGCGCCGCGGTGGCGAGGGCGCCTTGTTCTACGAGGGGAATCTTGATCTCTCCGCTCTAGTTCTCCTCGCTTTGTCTGGCTCTAGGCTCCGAGACCTTTCATGTGCTTCTTGGGAGCGTTCTCTGTGTGATCGTCTGGTCTTGAGGCGGTTGCGAAGATCTCCTGGAGCGAGGTACTTAAGGATGGCTCTGAATTCCCTCCACTCTGCGGTGTCATGGGTGGCCGCCTGGTGCTAGTCGAACCATTTCTTTCCCTCTTGCTGCTACTGCCTTGGAGGCGCCTCTCGCTTCTTCCCTCCCTTTCTTTTTTCTCTTTCACGCTCTCGATCAGCAAAAGCACTTCCTTTCTGTTGTCTCGCTCGAAGTACCGGTTTTGATATGCCTTTTGATCTGGGGAGCGTCTCCCTCGTTGAGCATCTCCTCGGTCATCGGTATCAAACCGGGGTCGAGGTCGCCTGTTTTGATCGTCTGTGGTTAACGCTTCTTCAAGTGATATAGCCCGCCGGACCAACTGGTCCAGCTCCGGCGACAACGAGAGGGAGGATTCCTTCTTTATCATGGCTCTCTTCAGCTTAATGCTATTCGTTGACATCCTGAGGTTGCCTGCGGCCACCAACTGGGAGATTCTTTGTATTTCACACGCGATTGCGTTTCATCGGTCGTAGAAATCTGTTAGCGACTCTTCCTTCCTTTGACTTCAGTTGATGAGAGTGGAGACGGTGAGTTTGCGTCTCCGTTGGGATGCAAACATTGTCGAGAACAGCATATCGAACTGTTCAAAGTTCTCTATGACCCCTTCAAGGAGGGAGGTTTAGCACGTTCGGCATTGACCGATGAAAGTAACCGAGAACGCAAGGCACATGTCCGAATCGGAGGCGTTTATGAGCTGCATTTTCAGCATGAACGCACAAAGATGATACATGGGATCTAAAGTCCCACTGTAGGTGGGTAGCCCCAATGATGAGAAGTTTGGGGGCACCTGAGTTTTGAATAACTCTTTTGCCAGGGGATTTTGTAGAATATTTGGCTCATTGTGCTCCCGTAGGTGGACCGCAAATGTTACTCAAGAAAGCCGAGATCCACGTCTTCTACCTCCATTCCCTCGCCTTCTTTCTGTGCAGGACTGTCAGGGATGAAAGTGGCCTTCTGCTTATCCTCACGCGGTCTTCCCTTTGAGGCCTCGGTTAGGTCTTCTCTCGTCTTCAAGAGGTGAAGTATTTGGTCGAGGCTATTCTGCATGCTCGTGTTCTGTTTCCCTTGACTTTTGACAACATCCTCCAACTTTGTCTCATCCACGATTCTCGGTGATATATCCCTCAGTGTGTTGTTTTCGACCATTCCCTGGAGCGGGGTTTCGAACTCGTCCCCCATCTTTGCCGTAGCGAAGTCTTCAGACCCCACGGTGGGCGCCAAAATGTTTACGCCTGATTAGTATCAGGCTTTTGGTGAAGCTCCACAGACCGCGCACGGACTTTGATCGAGGGGCGGTCATGTCGTGCCCTGCAAGGAAAGGTCCTTAGGGGAAGCCTGGGATCTCCTCCGATGCTTAAGTTATTGAGAGAAGTAGAGAATAGTAAATAAGAGAGAGAGAGAGAGCGGTGGTTGGAAGTTACCATAAATTTGACCCATTGAGGGGTATTTATACTAGCGTTGGTTGGGGTGATGGCATTTAATGCTTTGTCGGACGTCTATGGACGCCTCCGGGTTCATTAAGTGCGTAGTCAAAATTGTATATTTGTCAGTCTCCGTACTGAGGCAGTCAAGAGACTGTTAAGACCCTTATGTCGAACGGTCTTCCAGGTTTACGTTGAGAATAATGTCGGGATTCCCTTAGTCATTCAAGAAGACCGCCTCGGGTGGGCTTTCTTGAGTAACCCGGGTTGTTTGGGTCGGGTTTGTTTAGGGATGGCAATGGGTCGCGTCGAGGGCGGATAGTGCATATCCGTTACCCTACCCAAACTAGTTCGGATTTTACCCATACCCATACCCACATGTGAAACGGGTAGAAAATCAAAATCATGCCCATACTCGTTGGGATTTCTGATATCCACGGTTATCCATGGGTAATAATTTCTCTTCATAACACCAACCAATATGTTAACATTCATACGTATTCTCACATTACGTAAGAGGAAAAGTACGACAATACTTCATCAGAATGAAGAAAATTAATTAAAACAACACAATTTCATGAAAATATTATATTTATATGCTAAATATAAAATATGTTAGAGAAAAATAATTATTATTTCTAGACAAAATACATGTGCATGTGTATAATCGGGCGGGTTCGGGTTGGATAGTGAGAAACCCATGCCCACCCATTACTCACAATATTCGGGTTCGGGTTTTACCCATACCCACAAAATGTCCTTCGGCTTCGGGTTTTACCCTACCCGATTAGGCCGGATTCGGGCGGATATCCACGGTTACGGATATTTTCGCCATCCCTAGGTTTGTCTACTTATGGGCTTTTAGTGATCATGGGCTTGAGGCCCCACGCGTCTCAATGAGTGGTCCAACAGATATCATGGTCGGAGTTAGATGATACACAATGGAAATGAAAAAAAAATGGTGTGATTACTTGCAAATACCGGAAAACAATGTAATTCGTATTAAAAATTATAATCATGATCATAATTGTATAATACTCAATGAAAAGATTGTGCTAATCAAATACCGGAAAACATAATGAAGTAACTAAACAGGTTTTCATTTTCAGAATTCAGTTTCAGAAACCATAAAAATTCTCAGCTTAACAAGTTTTTTGCAGGTTTTGTTTCTCAGATAACGACAACTTCGTTTTCATTTTCAGATGTTTTATGTTGTGAGTAGCTAGATAAAACGAAATGGCAAGTGAACAAGGCATAATGTTTGACGAACTCATTTTTTCTAGACTGGAAGACCACCTGTCATTTGTGACATGCTTTGTAATGATCTTTCGGGCCATTAAAGCCCTTTCTTAATGGAATTAGGTGGATTATAAAAAGGCAAAATACACTTTCATAGCCATAACTATTCGCGTTGTGACAAATATAGCCACTTTTTGAAAAATACACAGATATAGCCATTTTTTCAAACTTGCTTGACAATTTTAGCCATTTCCGTTGCAAACTTTAACATCGTCACTAACACCGTCAATAACCTCTACGTGTCGCTGAGGTGGATGCCACCTGAACGACACGTCGTCGCCAATTGGACGTCTTTATGCCACATCATACTAATAGTAATTTTTAACAAAAAATAATTAATTTTACCAAAAACCAAAATAAAAGATTTTCAATGAGGATTTGATGGTGAAAATGGTGGCAGGTGCCCCCAATCAGGGTTTTTCGGTTTCTGGGTCTGAAATTTTTCAAGGAGTAAGTTCAATGGCGATTAGGGTTCTTCAATTTTTCGATCTGGGATTTTCGCCGACAAGATGTGAGAGGAAAGGGGAGGCCAGATTGAGCAAGACGAGGAGAGAAGAGGAGGAACGAACGTCAGTCCCTGTTGGCCACCGTCCCCGCTTTCTAATTCTCGCAAAAGTTGTCCACAACGACTTTCGCGACGGGATAAATCGATCCAATGGAGAAGTCGGAAGGAACTGAATAAATCGCGGAGCTTCGCGACAGTGGCGGCGTCAGAGGAGATTGGTGGAGGTGGCGACATTGACTCCTTGGCTGCTAGTGACTTCTTGGCCTCCTCCTAGCTCCAAGGAAAACTTCCTCGGCGGCGAGATCTGGATGGTCGACGTCCACGGATCGACGACCTTCTTCAGCTCCAGACCACCACCGCCACCGCTCTTCATTCTTAGTCAACAGTTTCTCAACCTCGTCCCTTTTCTCCTCCACAACGGAGCTCAGCAATCTCGTATGCATTCAAGTTGCTCTGCATAGCAAGCAATTGCGCATCGTACCTACTGTAGGGTTTCAACGACAGAGACGAGCCCCGCTCCCCGCCGCCATTATTGGAGGAATCATAATCATAATCAGGGGAAGAAGCGTTTGAGAGATCTCTACCGTGGGAGATGATCTGGGCCGTGGATGATGGACGATGGGGAAGAGAATCGGGATGGGTCTGTTGGATTGGATAGATGGAAAGAAAGGGAAAAGAAGATGATGATGGACGATTTTCAATTTTATTTATTTTTACTTTTTACTTTTTAGTGTAATTATAATAATAATAAGAAAGGAAACTTTTCACCTAGGATTGGTTTAAACAAAAAATTGCCACATCACCAGAAAACGTTAGTACAGTCAGCATTTAAGATTTTGTCGTTAAAGTTTTGGACGGAAAGGCTATACGAATGTATTTTTCAAAAAATGGCTATATTTGTCACAACGCGAATAGTTATGGCTATGAAAGTGTATTTTGCCTTATAAAAAATAAAAAATATATTTCCACTTTTCCATCCGAGGCTGAGATGGTCTAATAATTTCCCCGAGAGTTGGGCTTTCCTAACGGGCTTCCAGTATGTGTGGCCCATGCCGTGTGAAGGGACTAACTCTTATAAAGGCACCCGGCCCTTCGATCTGAGCCCTTTTTATTACAAACCGACTAAAGCAGCCTAAACCCATAACCCAGAGACTCAGAAATATTCCCGACGCCACCTGCAAGCTCTTTCTCTCTCAACAGACCCAGAAAAATAACCCTAGCTCGCTCAAACTATTCATCAGCTACTCCTCTTCAAGCGGCCATTCTCATCTCTCTCGCTGCCTGTGCTTCTGGTCTCTGTCTCCTCGTTCCCAGCTTCTTCGACTTACTTACCGTTCTCTCGCACTTGGCACTCCAACTTCTCGCTCAGGTCCGTCGGATTCTCTCGCCGTCTTCTCTTTCTCTCCTGCCTGATTCATCATCAAGCTTAGCGTAGTTGGCTTTTGGCTTGTTTTCCCGTGTGCGGCAATTTGATTTTGCGGCTGGATTCAGCTCAAGAGCTTTAGGATGAGAGCTTAAGCCAATTGTCTTCTTAGAGTTCAATTAGAGCGCGTGAATCTCGAGTGTGGTCTAGTCATGAGCTTTGGAACTGTAGGCAGACTTGATTTAGTTCGAAATGACTTAGTTGTAGCTAGATTTTCGTTTTTCCTTTATGGCTATCTTTCAGCTGCTTTCGGTCACCGAGAGAATTCGATTCAGCTCGTTCTGCTTGGGGGTTCTCGATGGTTTTAGGTTGGACAAGGGACTTAGCTGGGGATGGATTAGGGAATCACTACTAGTATTTTTATGGTTAATTGGATGCATCGCTATAGCTCCTTTGTTGCCTTCAATTTGCTGTCTTCTAGTGCCTATATGCAATATGAATTGGATAGGAATCGTCAACATGCTTTGTTTATCATCAAATTTTGGGCTTTGCTTTTGTTTCAGAGGAAAACTTAGGGACGTATAAAATGTCGCGGAAAGGCTTAATGGAGCAGGACCTGAGTAAGCTGGATGTAACTACGTTACATCCGCTCTCTCCTGAAGTGATATCCCGCCAGGCCACAATTAACATAGGTGATTTGTTTTTCCTGCTTTCAGTATTTAAACTAAGCTGCTGTATTTTGGGAATAATGTCGATGTCTGTTCTTATTCCGCTTTAAGAATTGTAGACTTATATCTTTCTCGTTCTTCTAATCATCAGGTACTATTGGTCATGTGGCACACGGCAAGTCCACTGTCGTGAAAGCAATCTCTGGTGTTCAGGTGTGTGACTCTTTTAAGTTTTCTGCATTACTCCATGTTTACTTGAGTTTTCAGTTCTCTTCCCTTTTGATGTATTCTGTAAGGTTCATTTATAAGAGAGTTGAGACAATTATTAATGTTTCGTACTTAAGCTAAGACAAGATAGTGATAATGGTGATCTTACATAGTGAGCTTGTGTTCGATTATCTTCGATGTCGGTAGTCATAACAATCATTCTACTATCTTGCCGAAAACATATAGATATGCAGCCTATAGTTTCTTTCATAAACCATAAGTTACCAATTAGTTAAATGCAAATCCTATACAGCAACTGTTTATCGTGCCCCAGAACTCATTATGGCCAGAATGAGGGACTTCCTTATCCTTTTTAGTAAGGAATCTTTGTCATAATACCAATTTTCCAATTAGGAAAGAATGTTATCAAGATATGTTGCCATTGCTTATTAGATGCTCTGCTTGCGTGGAGAGGATTTCCATAATGTCTTATGCCTATGTAAACAGTGATTATTATTTGACGTTCCTTTTTGCAGACTGTTCGATTTAAAAATGAGTTGGAACGAAATATTACTATTAAGCTTGGGTATGCAAATGCAAAGATATACAAATGTGAGGATGACCGATGCCCTAGGCCTATGTGTTATAAGTGAGTTGATTCAAAGCTTAAACTTGTTGGTATTCTGGTTCCATCTTTGTTGCTGCAGTTAATTTTTAACATGTTCAAAGTGTTTCTTCAGGGCCTATGGAAGTGGTAAGGAAGACAACCCTTCGTGTGATGTTCCTGGTTTTGAGAATGCTAGGATGAAATTGCTCAGACATGTCTCCTTCGTAGATTGTCCGGTAAGTTTTCCTAGTAGGATACCACTTGTTGATCACCCATCATTAATCTTATTGTTATTATTATTATTATTATTATTTTAGTGTCTCTTGTTTATGGTTCTACTCATTTTGGTCACCTACAGGGCCATGATATTCTCATGGCAACAATGCTTAATGGAGCAGCTATTATGGATGGAGCATTGCTTCTGATAGCTGCAAATGAAAGCTGCCCTCAACCACAAACGTCTGAGCATCTTGCTGCTGTTGAAATCATGCGTCTTAAGCATATTATTATTCTCCAGAATAAAGTTGATCTTGTCCAGGAAAATGTTGCCATCAACCAGCATGAAGCTATTCAGAACTTTATCCAGGTTCACTCCTTCTCGGATATGCTCTTTGCATCATTTATCCTCTTGTTTTAAGCTGTATTTGGCTCTGCTTTCTTCAATTAAATGTAATAAAATGTGACAGCTGCTGACCTATGTAGTCTACTGCCTCTTACAGGGAACGGTTGCAGAGGGTGCTCCAGTTGTGCCTATCTCAGCACAGTTGAAGTACAACATTGATGTGGTCTGCGAGTATATTGTAAAGAAAATCCCTGTTCCGAAGAGGGATTTCACGTTACCACCCAATATGATCGTGATCCGATCTTTTGATGTCAACAAACCTGGTTTCGAGGTTGATGATATCAAAGGTGGAGTTGCTGGTGGAAGTATTCTCACAGTAAGTATATCCTGATATAATTTTCTGTCTTCCTCTATTCTCTGCTGGGTCTAGTTAAACACTTGTCCAATGTCCTGTGCAGGGAGTGTTGAAGGTGAACCAATACATTGAGGTCCGTCCAGGAATCGTGCTTAAGGATGAGAATGGCAACATGAAATGCACCCCCATCTACACTCGGATAGTCAGTTTGTTTGCTGAGCAGAATGAATTACAATTTGCCGTACCTGGAGGTCTCATCGGTGTTGGTACAACAATGGACCCCACTTTGACACGTGCCGATAGGCTGGTGGGACAGGTCCTTGGGGACATTGGTTCCCTCCCTGATGTTTTTGTTGAGCTTGAGGTAGAGCCTTTCTGCGTTTAGTTAACTTGAAAGTAACAATCTAAATCCGATTGCTCCTTAACTTGCTTTTTTTTATGTATTTTGTAGGTGAATTTCTTCCTTCTGAGGAGACTGATTGGAGTAAGGACTAAGGGGTCCGAGAAGCAAGGGAAGGTGTCCAAGCTGGTGAAGGGAGAGATTCTTATGCTGAACATTGGGTCCATGTCGACAGGCGCTCGGGTGCTTGCTGTGAAGAACGATCTCGCGAAGCTGCAGCTGACGTCGCCTGTGTGCACCAGCAAGGGGGAGAAGATAGCCCTGAGTCGAAGAGTGGAGAAGCACTGGCGCCTGATCGGATGGGGCATGATTCAGGCTGGAGCGACGCTGGAAGTTCCCCCCAGCCCACTACTTTGAGTGAAAGAGAGAAAGTAAGACCAAGGTAGAGAGCCAGAGAAAAAGCGTTTAAGAAACCGAAACCAAAGTTCTTTTTGCAGAAGATGTGGAAGGGAAGGGAATTGCTTGGAACAATTTTCGTTAGGTGGAGGAGAAAACATGTTGATTAATCTGTTTGGTCTCATTTTTTTGCAAATCTTACAGTTCTGGGCACATGCCAATTCAAGTATTCAACTAAAGATTTATGCTTTGTGACCAGGTTTTGTGGACGATCACTAGGTAATGTGCTTGCCATGCTTTTTTTCCGTGAGCACTAGAGCTTCAGGAATAAGGTCGCCGAAGACCCCAAAAGTTTCAATACGGTTTGGTGCGGTCCGAACCGCACTAATGCCCACCCCTAGTAGCTGGGATGGTGGCGGAGAATATACCGTCTTACCATTCAAAATCAATCCGATAAATATCATATTCATACAAAAATTACATATACTATACCAAAATCTATGCCAGAAATTGTCTGCTGCATACCAGAAGTCGTCTAACTCAAGCCAAAAACCTCGTGCCAAAAAAATCAACACCAGAAATCGTCGATAACAATCTACACTAGAAATTTGTCTACTGCATACCAAAAAACCATTATCAGCAGATCATCTAATCTAATTCATACTAAATATCACCTAATGCCTACTGGGTACCACAAACTTGAGAATCCACCCTAGTAACAAGAAGTAAAATTTAGCTGCACCATCTTGACCACAAATATAAAGTTTTTCATACTGGTGTGAAATTATTCTTAAAATGTAAAATTGAGGAAAATGAGCAAGAATTTTCTTTATAAGATAATTATTATAATACTTTAGGGGATATGAATGATCGAAGTGTTAAAGCGAGTGAGTCTAAAACTCTAAATAATAAATGTCACATATTTGGATGATTTCAGTGTGGACACTCAAATTACCAAACTCAAATCAAACCTACTACCCTCAAAAGTTGGGTTTAAGGAAAACTCAACCAAGATTAATATTGGTTGGAGGTTTCCGGACCAAATACCCACGCCAATGAATTAGTTAACCATTCCTTAATTTCAATCTCGTGCTCACTCGATTTTCAATATGGTTAGGTCTTGCCAGTCCAGGCCTCGATGTGTATTCTGCCAATCGTGGCTCTTGATTAAATGTATGTATGTGCAATATGAATGTATTTTGCATTTCTTTAATGGTAGTTATTGTTTGGCAATATCGAGATAAGCAAATAAAGGTCATACCTCTTCAAGTGTGAAACTTGGGTGTTTGATCTTAGTTATCCATAACCCATGTCATTACAATAACGATTCTACTTAGTGATGCTTCAGTTATCAAGTCACAATTAAGCTAAACAATCAATTAGTGATGCGTGTTAGTTTCGTCATTCAAAACTATTTTTTGGATGTTTGAAGAGGTAGATTCGTACTTATTCATGCACAGTAGGACATGTAGTGACTTGTGACACACTAAAATATTGTCTACATTGCGCTCATGCTAGTAATCTTACCTACGACGAGCAAGAAATCTAACGTGATATCAATATGATTAGCCGACGAACGTGGGTCAGAACTAAAAAGTCACTAGGTATTATGTTTTGTGGAGATTATCATGTTGAATGTTCATTGATCCTGTGTCAACTAGATGATGTAGCTACAAGAGGAAGCACAAGTAGAAGAAAGAAAACGAACACCGAGGCAGGAATAGGACTGGTTATGTAAACGGGAATTGTGTTGAATTAGAGGAAACAGGAAAGCCAAATTGGGTGGGCATTTGATTGCCATTTACTGTGGAGAAGAAGACGTGATTGACTTTCGGAGAGTTTTAAGGTGAAACCATTTATGCAACATCGACCTTTGACCTTCCAAAAACTGACATCTTCTGTTGTTTACTGCCATATCGTCGGTGGGAGGTGAGTGACTGGTGACGTTAGTTGGTGCTTAACCAGGCCCACGAACCATGATCTGTGTAGGTTAGAGAGTTACACAGTGACAGTAGTTGATAAGCTGGTGTTATCTTTAGGTGTACTTTGATTCACACTATTGAGGGAGATCTCAGAATCATCTCATACACAGATAAAGAAATTATAAATTTGTGCACAAATTACTTATTGATTCATCCTTGCGATGTTGTTTTATTGCTAATGAGAAACATGTTGTCTTATTCTCTTCATGTTATAGATAGATTAGTGGCTCATAATCAACGAATAAATTATATGCGTCAAGTTTGGATTGTTTAGTTTCAATTTCTTTGTTAGTTTGTTTTGAATGTGGATTAGCCGTTATTGTGTGTATGTGTCTATGTGAGTGAAAAGAGAAAGGGAAAATCAAGCTGTGTTTCCGGCTGCTCTTCCGCGAAAATCTCTCTCCTCTTCCCTTACATTGTGCTTGAATTTGATTAGTTAATCGATACAATGGTCAAGTACAAAGCTTATCAAGGACTGGAAAACAAGCAAGTTTATTTTCATAAGGGAAATTGAGTTGGAATTCCTTTCCAATCAAGTTGCCACAAGAATAAAAATAACAAAAGGGAGATGCTTTGCTTTGCTCTAGAAAACATCTGCTAGTTGACTAATGAAGCCAAATTTCAGGGGTCTTAAACTATAGCCCCAAATTGTCAAAAAAAGATGGGTGCAAGTAAGCATTTGACATTTTGCCATTCACCCATAAACAACTAGACATTATTCAAACTTTATGCTTGAAAGGGGGAAAGATTTGTGGAAGTGGGTGGCAAGTAAAGCATCATGACCTCCATCCATTTGCTCCAATTTTGACTTTAAGCACACTATAAATTGCCCAATTAATCTAGAGGGGAGGGTAGCTCACTTACTTAATTCCCACAAAAGTCTTCCCAAAGATTCTCAGCCCAGCACCCTTTCAGCAAATAATAAAACAGATCTTCACAACTCATCTTCCATAGACATCAAATCCTTTGTCAAGTTTGGTCTCCCACTTGGTAGAACAAATGGAGTACCTTCAGATCTTTCTACCCTTTTTTTTATTTATGAGTTCAAGAGAATGAGGTACCATTGGAGAAATAGAAATAGAACCCCCTTAGAGTTAAGAAATTGTGGATTCTTTTTTTTTAAATAATCTTATGATCTTATTACAAACAATAGAATTCCGATTTAGAAAAAACGTACGATAAATCAGATCAACCCTAGTCATTATCATAAGGAATCCGTAAAGGGATTGATTGAAAAAAGTAGTGACCTTAAAATCATGCTAGTAGCAATGTTGCATCTATTAGATTCAAGACATTATGAAAGCTTATGGGTTCTCGCAAAACACAATGCTATTATGAGAAAAACACTCATTTGGAATTTTAGATGGTTAAATCCTCCAACTGCCATTTTCGTGTTCAAATCCCATAACTTGAATGGTCTCTTTAATAAATCAAACCCTCGAGTTATTTGTTCTCTATCTGTACAAAACCATTTGGTTCCAATCATTTAAGTTCTTGGGAGAGGTTCATATATGGATGTTAACCATTTTGTTATACGCACTCTCAAACTCAAGTCACTCATATGATATCGAAGTTTCCACGAGTCCAAATATCATGTGTTTAACAAATGAGATCTCGAGAATCGAATGAAAAATCTCTCGAACATAGAAGGCTCGGATACCATGTCAGGAACTAGTTGATCCCAGTAACCAGGACTGTTGAGAAAGATCCAATTATGGATATTATACTAACACGCCCTATTGGGCCAGCTCGATGCATTCTCATGTCAGCCTAACTCGACCCGTCCCGTGGCACGTTCGCATGCAGCCCATGTTGCTTTTTCCTCTTCGTGTAAGGGATTGATAACCCTAGTTTATTTGTGTACGGGATATAAAACCCCCTGTAATGGCCATCAGCCACCATGAATTGAATAATAAGAAAACCTAAATCGGAGAGTAGTTACTCTCCCGTGGACTAGTCCCGATCATCGGGGATACCACGTAAATCTCGTCTTCTCTCGTTTTAATCGCACTCGTACTTAGCAGATTTCTCATGGTATTAGAGCTGTAGATTCAGCTTGTCTTCCGTCTGTCAGCGACGTTCATTCCGCTGGCTTGCTTCTCTCTTTGGTGATCGATCCTCAATCCTTCACCATGACCGATTCTACTTTGTCGAGCACCACACCTCAGTCAAGGTCTGGCGGCTCTAATGTCCAGGGTTCGGATTCTTTGAGCCCTTATTTTATTCATCAATCGGACAACACTGGTCATCTTCACGTGAGTAGTGTTCTCACGCCTACCAACTAAGGGGAATGGGTCATGGAGATGATAGATGCCCTTGTCACTAAGCACAAGGTTAGTTTTGTCGACGGCAGCATTCCTCGGCCGGCGGACGCGTCTGCGAAACTCAGTTCGTGGACTCGTTGTGATGCTCTTGTCAAAGGTTGGTTACGTACAGCCATGGATGCTGAAATACACAGCAGTGTTATGCATGCGAAAACTGCTCAGGAGATTTGGGAGGATCTCCGTGATCGTTTTAGTAAGGGTACTCTCACCCGTGCTTATGAGCTTCGTCGCCATGTCAGTCTTTTGCAGCAAGAAAAGCAGACGGTATCTAATTATTACACTCAATTGCGCAAAATTTGGGAGGAAACTCAAACCATATTGCCGCCTCCCATTTGTGCTTGTGGTCACCGTAGCAAGGATCAAATCGAGAGCCTCCGCCTCCTTGATTTTTTGCTTGGCCTTGATGACACTTATGCTACTGTTCGTAGTCATGTCCTGTCTATGCAGCCCATGCCTACCCTCCCTGAGGCATTTCGGATTGTCTCTAATGATGAGCAGCATCGCTCTTTTTCCCAGAATCGCAAACCTTCTATTGAAGCTGCTGCCTTCTCTAATCATGGTGACTCTGACCGCTCGTCGCGTCCCTCTGCCGATCGTGGTGATCGTGATCGTCCGCGTTGCTCACATTGTCAGAAGATTGCTCATCTTCGTGAAACCTGCTACGAGCTGATCGGCTACCCCTCTCGTGACAAGCGCGGGGAGCACGGAGAGTGCCCTGCTGGTCGTCGCCGCGAAGATGCCACTCGCCCAGCTCGTTCTCGTGAACCGCGGGCTTCCCAGGTGGATGCTGATGTAAGTCCAGTCCCTGGTTTCACTTTGCAACAGTTAGAGCAGCTGAAGCTCTTCTTCGGCATGCATGCATGAAATGGCTCTCTTGACCCGTCTTCTCACATGGCGGGTACGTTTCTTCATTCTTCTAGTTCTGAGTGGCTTATTGACTCGGGCTACAACGAGCACATCGCCACTGACG